TAGGATGCTGCTATAGTGAATGGATTAATAATGGTGGTCAGGGGTGTGGTTCTGAGGGCTTTGAAAGGAAAGTGCCTGAGGAACTATCACTTTTTCTGCTCCACCATTTTCTACCATGCGAGACCCCTGAGTCACTGTTGCCACCACCAAGGCCTTCACCAGTTGTGTTCCCTGGACTTTGCACTTCCCAGCCTCAGAAACTGTAAGCAAATAATTTCGTTTTCTTACAAATTACCCGGTTCCAGGTATTTTGTTATAAGCAACAGAAATGGACTAATACAGTGTTCACTCTGGATCCTGGTTGGAAGAGGCACAGCTACCAAGGATATGGTTTTCTCGTGGTGGACCACCAGAATACAAGAGAGCAGCCCAGCCCTGCCCGCTCATTTCAAGCCTCTGATCCAGTTACATTCTCTAATATTTCATTATCTAAAGCAAGTCCAAAGTCGTGGGATGGTGAAGTATACTTCAACACTAAAGACTGTGACACTCACGGGAGAATAAAGAGCTGGGTTCAGTAGTTCAACCCACCGATAGGAGGTACTATTATAAGCCTCAAGCTGAGACATAGAAAGAAGTGACTTGCCCAAGGTCACTCAGCTGATAGGTGGCAGATATAGGATTTGAACTCAGGTAATTTAACTCCACAATAATGGAGGCCTAAGGGTGCAAATCTGGGGTGGGGGCGGGTGGGAGGGGAGTGATATTTGTTTTCTTAAATTATATGCATTTTTTTCACCCATGAGTTGCCCATGCCCTGTGGGCACCAACTATTCCCACAGTTACACGTCCATCTGTCCATCCACGCACCCATTCACACAGGCCTGGCATTTGGGTGTTCTCTCAGCTCTCCAGAATAACAGGCCCAGGTCAATTCTCTGGTAATTTTTTGAAATTAATGTTGAGGGGAAAAATCACCCCCCAGTTAATCTCAGGCACGTGTATAAATAGCTTTGGGAAGTCCCTGGTGGAATTCATATCAAAGTGGCACCACGATTTTACTTAAAAACAATTTGCTCCATGTCAACCGTGATTTCTGACACCTGAACTTGAAAGTGATCTGGGTGGGCCCAGCGCCATCTCTAGAAGGGAGTCATGTGTTTACTTGGAGGGAGGAGAGGAAAGCTGGCAGTATGTGTGGCCATGGAATAATGTTCCACACACCCTTACAGGAGGGATTTCCTCCTCGGTGTTTCCACAGAACCTTCCCTGTGTTTGTTTAAACCCGTTCCACACTCTGGTCTGACAGCTGCCTGGCCCAGGGCCTTCCTTGCAGACACATGTACAACTAATCCTCTTTAACAGCAACCTGCACTGTGTGCCCTGATGCAATTACTCCGGTATATAAACCTCACTGAAAGCCAGGCTTTTCTTGGGAGCTAATAAATAAGCCCCAAAGCCACAACATGTGCAAGACCTTGAAAAATGGCATCACCATCTACTGGGAATTGTGAACCCTGCAAAAAGCAGCTCATTGTACTTTCAGAAAAAGGTTTTTGTTTAAAAAAAATAATAAAGGACAAAAATCACCAAGTGGCGTCTACATGGAAAAAGCAACCTCGCCTTGACAGTCTAAGGCTGTTCTCTTTGCTGCATTCATCTTTCTTTACAGATTTTATGTAAAAGGCATTATTAGCAGGAAAACAAGACAGCATTTTAAGGAACTCCCCTCGCATCCCAGTTTCCCATCTGCAGTTACCATCTGCTGCCTGTGACCTCTGCCTCGGTCGCTGAGCAGAACTTTACCACCTCAGGGCGGGTTACAGCTTCTGGGGGGTGAGATGGAGCCTCAAGCAATGAAAAGAACAGGGGGAGAAGCCACTGTCAGGCGTTGCCCTCCACACGTGTGCCGTGTGCCGGTACTCTACAGTTTACAAAGCACTTCCAGCTTTGCTTCTGGTTGCTTTAAGGAAGAGGGTGCTGGACACCGGCCGTGGGTACACAGACCGGCAAACGCTGCAGATTCTTTCTGTCCCTTGGACCCCAGTTTCTTGAGAGGCTGGGGTTGGTGCTCCAAGCGCCACCTGAGCAAGTTTTCCAGAATTCCAAGTGTCTTGTCTCCAGCTGATGGCATCTTTAGCCCAGAGTAGGGACTCAGCCACTGGTGCCGCTTCCTTGCCCTCGTGTCCAGGTGGTTCCTGGAGCAGCCGCCTCTGGGCCACTGCGGCAGGCAGTGGCGCTCGGTGTCCCGCAGAGCCTCACCAACCCGGAGAAGCAAACACCCTGGGCCGAGGAGCCGGCGCCCGGGCCAGCCTTCTCCGGGTGCAGGAATACAACAGAGGGCGCCGAACCCACCAGCGCCGTGGCCTTGAATATCAATGTAGGAGCTGGCTCCAGATCGCCAAGTTCCTTAAACGTGTCTGTGACAGGGTGTCACTGCCAGACTTTAAGGGCTTCGCTTTGCTTTTTACTTGCAATCGCCGCATCTCACAAACCATGTTTACTTGTGCAGGGAGGGGCGGGGACCTAACCCACGGCTCGGCGCACACGCCTTGATCTCACATTCCAGGCTCGAGCTGATGTGTGTCAACGCGACATGCGGCGGGGGAGGGAGGGCTCTCTTCGGATGCCTCATTCGCCATATGCACGTCACTCCCAAACTTTTCCTCCCTGCGCTCGGGGAGTCAGGTTGACGCGCCCTGGATGCGGGGCTCGAGGCGCGGGGCTGGGCGCGCTCCCGCGGAGCCGGAGGCGCAGGGACTCCGGGGCTGGACTCGGGCTTCTCAGGTACAAGTTGGGTGCCGGGCGCCGCGGTGCGGGCGGCGAGGGTCCGGCTCCGGGGTCCGAGCGGGCGGCG